TCTGCTAGTTAAGTTAGGGCTTTTTTAAAGGTTGATGAAGAGTTTGTAGAATTGCTACCTGTTAGGAAGGTTTTTCATCTCTGCTTGCTTCAAAATCGAATTTCTTAGACACATCACCTAGAAATCCGAAAATCATAGGTTGTTATATGTGAGAGCATTATTGATAACCTGAACTAGTATTTGATGAGCCAATCAATTTAATGCAAAGAGATTTGGCTTAGAAGTTTTGTGAACAATTGAATTTGATCATACTGCATGTTTAGATTGTTAGGGTTTGTAAAAAGATTTGAAACTCTGTGATTTAGGCATAGATAACTTCTGCAACGAGAATTGATTAGTTATATATCAGTCATTCATGTTCAAAACGGTTCTTAATCATTCATGATTCCATGTATTCTACATTCTCGGATTCAACCTGCGAACTGTCCTGACTTAGCGCTTTTAGTCTTCTGGTACTTAGATCAAACACTAAATTTTGCTTGTTTACTTTTAATTTATCATTCGCATTACATACATCACATACTGCTTACTTAATCCGAACCTACATTCGATAGTGTAGTTTGTATTACTCCTTTGGGATTGATACCCTTTGTACTACAACTATTTTTGATGTGCACTTGCAGTAGTTTTATTTGGGTAAAACCTGAGTCATATCACCGTTTGATCGAATTGATCGAGTTTGTGCACGAGAGGAGCCCTCCCATAATCATGTTGATCCGTTGTCGGGGCGAAGTCGGGGGTGTGTGATCGTCTTCACGATCACATTTTATTTCCTTCTCTTAGAGTTTGGTGGATGGACGATCGGCATCGGCTCTTCTATCTTGATCGCTATCAGGTCGTCTGTCCTGATCATCGTCAGATCGTCGTGCTGAACTCCGGGGCTCTGGTATGGTTCACTCGCCATCTTCCCACGCCTTCCGCAAGAGGGCCGGGAGGGTACGGCAGTCATCGGTATGATGGCCGTGTGCCTTGTGGTATTTGCACCACAGCTTCTTGTTGTCTGGATCTTTGGCGCTCAAACGATCCCAAGTGTTCTACTTCGTCTGCCGTCCAACAGCGTTGATACTCTTGCGGCTCTTGTCGTCCTTGTCGTAGTGCTGACGAGGCTCCTGGTAGCCATCCTGATTCGACGATTTGGGTTTCTTGTCGCGTGAAGATTTCTCGTCGGCCAATTTGGCTTTGGCCTTGGCTGCCCGATCTTTTTCGACCCTGATATAGCTGATCACCTTATGTAAAGCGTCTTCTAGGGTTTTGTTTTTCCCGGTTTTCAACCATTCGTAGTACGATTGATTGTCTCTGAAGTTCCTGATGAGGATGTTGAGAGATAGCTCGTTCGACAAGCTGCATCAGGAAATGATGGACCAGAACGGTTCCGTGTCGCCTTGGACACATGCCCATAGGTTGAGCGCCATAGACTCCGTGTCGATGTAGATCGAATAATGTTTAAGGAACCGAGCTGTGAGTTCCTTGTAGCTGTCGATGGAATTTTTAGGAAGCTGCGAGAACCAGGTGAGGGCACTTCCGGAGAGCGTCTCCACAAAGTACTGACAGAAGCATGCATCCCGTTCCTCGTCGGTGAAGCGAACTTGTCCCATGACTGCGTTGAATGCGGTCAGGTGTCGCTTCGGGTCTGTCGTGCTGGTGTAACTTTGGGGTAGCTTCATCCAGCATATGTCTTTGAGAGGAGCCTTGGTGATTGCCGATGTAAACGAGGTCTGCTGCGTTTGTTGGAGGATTTTGTCCAACTCCGGTGCCGAGGTCGTCGCCTTATGGATCTTGCTGTTGATATCGTCAATGCGTTGATGAAGAAGGTCGAGTTCTGAGACCGTCGTCAGGTTGGCACCTGTGGTGTTATGGGATGAGCGAGCGTTGGAGCCTTCCATCTGTGCTCTCTGCATGTCGTATGTCGCTGTGGTGCCGAACAGGTTGTTGACTAGTCTAGTCATTTCTGCGTTGTGGATCGGCGGGCGTGGGTCGTGATCAGATCGGCCGGCTCTTGGGTATGAACTTTAGCATTGAGAAGCCGATCTAGGTCTTTTCGATAGGCAATCTGTTCGGCGTAGAGGGACTCAAAGCGAGCATCCATGCCATGTTGGAACTGTTCCGCGACCGATCTGATGATAGTGGCCATGTCAATGAGAGGTGGCTGTGGCAGGTCGGCAGGGTTTGTTCCATCAGTGTGGCCGACCTGGCCTGTTTCGTCGGTGTTCTGTGCAGCCATGTCGTCAGTCTGTATGTTGGTCTGATCGTCCATCGGGAGTCCAGTGATCGGATTGATGATCAGGCCCTGGGTGTTTCTGGTGGGATCGGCAGCTCCTCCTGCACGATCAGTGAGTCATCCGGTGAGATCGGTGGCTCATGTGGTAAGGTCGGTAGTATCAGGGTTGATAGGTGTTTCAACCATCTTCAAGCTCCGCTTGAAGATTTAGTCTCTTATTCCCCTTAGATGGCGCCAACTGTAAAAACTCAAGTTCGACTTATAAGAGAACTAGGGTTTATGGATTTAAAGAGAGATCTTTATTAGAATTAAGCCGGAGCTTGAGAGATACAAGGTAGTTTAGGTCGTCGGAATAAGAACGCTGTAATTCGAGAGCTAAGAACAATAAGATTTTTTGTTCGCCCTAGGTCTCGAAAGAGTATTTTTTAATGATCTGAGAAGTCGAAGACTTCCCGTATTTATAGCCGATCAGGTCGGTCTTCTATGTCAGTTCCAAAAAGGAAAGTCCTTTGCCGATAAGACCGAACTTCCTTTTTTCCCGGGTTTGCTTGATAAATGGAAGATTTCCATTTATTTGGCCGACCTGAATCTTGTAAGATGGGCCGACCAGAATTCATATCGGACTTGTAGAGATGGTACGTCTCATCTCTAACACTAAAAAGATAGTTATAATTTCTTTTTCTATCTGTTTATTTTTTTGCTTTATTTATAATTCGAATTCTTCCTATATAATGAGAATTCATTCATATATGATATAAGCTATTTTTTTATATTTAAAAATGAGATTATTTAGTTTTAACTTAACCAATCAAAATATTTTGTTAATTTTATGAAATTTGCTATGCCACATTTATGAAGTGGCATTGTTTTGCACTAACTTTTCTTAAGGTGTTGATATATAGAATTTTTTTTAGTAAACATGCTTCTCAAATAATAGTTAGGATTGACATAAATTCTTTACCAAAAAATATTAACATGAATTCCGGTTGTAACAAAATAAATCAATCTATCTTTTTCTCGGACATAATACGGATAAAATACTAGTATATTGTATAATATTATATAAAAAATAAATATATTTATTTCCTTTTCAAATTATTATTATTAAATCTAATTTTTAACGAATTAATTAATTGCTGCTTAAAATAGTATTTGACTATAAAAAAAGTAGTAGAAAAAAAAGAATTAGTTAAATAAGTAAATATTGAGAAAAATATGGTATTGACACATCAGCAAATTTAGTTTTCAATATTTGTATTTTAGTATATTCTTAGATTTTTTTTAAAATTCAAAATCTGAAGTTAACTAATGTAGTAGTATTTTATACACTAGAATTTTATTTATAATATTAATTAAATGTTAGATTTTTTACTACATATATAGATTAATATTAAACGTTTTTGAAGAAACAATATTACTTTTAACATGTTCTACTTTTATTTAAAAAATGAATTTGAATATAAAAAAATATTTATCTTTTTGTGTTTTCCTGTGCTAAATGATTGTTGATGTCTTTAATGAAATTTTATTTAATCAGTTGAGTATATTAAATTATGCTTTTTAAAAATATTGGATACAAACCAGTTGCCTATATTAAATAAAAATTGTATTATGTTTTTTTTTCTTTCAAAATGGCGATTTTAAAATTATGTTTAAAAAATTAAGTTGTTAATTATAATTTTGTGAGGTTAAATTAGTTTGGTATTAAAATATATTTTTGGATGAAATCATTATGAGTGAAAAAAACTAATCAAAACTGTTTGTAAATAACAATAATAGATCAAAATTAAAATTTATTTAATTATTCCAAAAAGATAAATTAATTAGAAGGTGATATTTGACAAAATAGTTAATAGTTATCTAAAATAGTGTTTAACTATAGTTATAACATTATAAAAATAGAATTAATTAAATAGATAAATGCTGAAAAAATTGTAAGAGTGACACATTAGCAAAAGTAGGAGATAAACAAAAATAATATTTAGCCTTTATTGTTTTTTTATCAGCAAATTTCATTAAAATAGTTTAGTGTACAGCACATATAGAATTTTATATGTAACAATGTGCAAACATAATATATAAGCATATTATATGTAAAACGTGAGTAAAATTCTCCATATTGCGTAACCTATTCTCCATATTGCGTAACCTATTTTACATTTTTATTTAATCAATTCAAAACTCTATACTCTTCTCCATTGGGGAAGAAAAAAAATCAAAATTCTTAAGAATTGATTTTTTTTTTGCTACCAGTTATTATTAAGAAATGATTTTGGTTCCATATCTTATAATTTTATTTTATTAGTCAGATTCGTTCTTTTTCATTCTAAATTTAGTTATAAAATCTGGGAATATTGAAGTTTGTGCTATTTTGTTGTCTTTGATAGATAATAAATATTAGTATTATATTTTAATTGAATTGTATCTGTTGATAAATAATTTAATTATTAAATACAGTATCAGAATCCTTATAAAAATGAAAAGCAAATACTGTAACACTATTGAAAAGATACTGAAACGTTATTTAATTTCATATTTTGTAGCTAAAATTCCCAAAATATTATTTTCTTAGATTAGCTGCCAAAAGAAGCGTCGCAAATTCTATATTTTGTGACACAACTAAAATATTAGTAAAAAAGAGAAAAGTAAACTTAGAGAGAGTTAAGACTTAAAAAGAAGATGTTGTTTAAAACTTAAAAAGAGAGTAAGAATTTAAAATCGGTTCCTGAACGTACGAGTTACATAGCCTACATTTGATTGATTAGGAGCAATGAGTCAATTTATGGGTACAAAACCTTTTTTTCTATTCTTTTTTTCAATGAGACGAATCCAATCTTCGTATCACTAACATACATGCTTTGATCAACTAATCCTCGTTACATGTGTCTCAGCTTGGACTCCTTACATGGTATCTACATATTGTTTATGTGCACCTGCTGATTTCGAGAGTAAGGATTATCCATATATCACAAGAACCGAGAACGATCAGCCTCAGTATACAATCGAGGAAAAAACATACATGATTAACGAACAGATTGATGAAAGCGAGGTTTATATTAATTGATGTTTATGCTTATGGTTTGATATGTAATCAATAAAGTTTTAAAATTTGTGTGAAATTTGAGGGTTGAATTTTTCTGATAGGGGTTCGATATCGATTACACATTCTTTCAGTGCTTATTCAAATACCGTCCGGTTATTCTCAATGGAGATGATTTCGTTGAGGAGCCCAAAACCTATGGGGACTTACTCAGGAAGCTGTCTCAGAAATCCCTTGAATGCTATAATGAAGAGGAGGGCACAAAGTATTAATTTGTCAATATTGTCAAAGCCATCTATTATACGGTTTTTGGGTACATGTTTTTCATGACGTTTGAGGTTATGGATCCTTATGATAACCAGACAAAACTCTTCCAAACTAGCATCCACTACACTTCACATAACCCGCCCAAGTATTTCGTTTGCAGGCCTAAACCCGATCAAAAAGGTACTATTTGTTTCTTTACAGCTCTCTATAGCAGAATAAGCATGGGTCTCCGGCCTTCATTATAACTGCAAGTATTTTGATTATGTTTCGATTTATATCGGTTTTGGATCGTTCGGTTCTCAAACTTGTTTGGTATTTACCGATTCTAAAAATAAACCAACCCAAAATCAATATGAACCAAAAAAGAATTAAGAGATTTGAGAAATGGTTGTTATTTCAAACAGCCATGTGTCTATATTTTATTGGATTAGCCTTTTAATATTTAATATTAAATTATTAATTAAACTATAATAATATAATATACTTTAGATACTCTAGTTTAGATATTTATAAATAGAGATGGTCTTATAAATCTTAGACCATCTCCAATGTGTTCCTTTATTTTTTCCTCTAAAATAGAGGTGTACTTCTCTCCAATGTATTCCTCTATTTTTTCCTCTAAAAAGGAATATTTTAAGAATATTCTCTTTATAATTTATTATTAATATCTTCTTTCCATAAAATTCACAAATTAACCCCATTTATATTATTGTTTACAAAAATTTCCATCAATAATAAAAATATATTAAAACTAAACATTTATTTCATAAAAAAAATTCAAAATGACTATAGTATTTGTAATTTTCCATAATTTTCAAAATATTTATTAAATCACTATGGTATTTATCATTTTCTATAATTTCTGTATTTTTAAAAAATTATTGCAATTTATCATTTTATTTATAATTTAGTTTGAAATAAATGAGAATTTTCTAATTTAGTTATATTATATGTTCAAAACATTTTCTCAAACCATAACAAAATTATTAAATTTATTTATTTATTAGGTTTTTGTATTTAATAATATACAAAACTGTATAATGTAACTTTATTGACATATTATTGTACATGTGTATACTATATTGCTATTCATGTTTATTTTTTTTTATCATGGATTAACCACTTTCATTTATAAATTATATAGTTAATTAAAGTAAATAATGTTTTCTGTTTTTCTATAATAGTTATTGTTTGAAATGATGTTGATTTTATTAAATTTTATTAAAGTTATTTAATATTTTATAATTTAATTAAATTTATATGTTAGATATATGGCTATTTATTGGATATATACAAACTAGATTATGCAAATATTTAATTTAACTTTTTATATGTTATATAAATAAAATAAAAAAGATGTAAAAGTTAAGGGACCAGTTTATAAATAAAAAAGTTTATCTCTATTATAGAGGAACAAATAGAGTTCCTCCAAATATAGAGGGAAAAATAGCAACCTCTATTTTAGAGGTAAAAATAGAGGTGGATTGGAGAGAATTTTTCTCTAAACTCTATTTTTCCCTCTAAAATAGAGGTAGATTGGAGATGCTCTTAAACGAGTTCAATTTAATTGGCTTCTTTCCCAGAATTGACTCAAATACCTAAGATTGCATGTCAAATTTACAGGAATAATTGCTATTGAGCAAACCCAATCTTGAAAATATACCTGAAAATCTGTAAATATATCCAAAAATTTGAAAAAACTAAAAAATAAATATACACGAAAATCCGAAAATCTAATAAAAACTAAGAAAATATATCTGAAATATCGAAAATGTATCTAAAATACCCAAAAATAAACTAATGCATTAAATATTTTTGGAGTCATTTAGATAGTCGATCAAGTATTAGTTAATACCTAAAACCGGACCGATATCCAAAACCGACTGAACAAAGTATTTGAGATAGATTTGGGTTCCGGTTTTTATGTACAGGCCTATTGGCAGGTTTTGGATCGTTTATATAGAATCATACCAAAAGCAGAAACAAATTTTCTTTTTGCCCCTTTCTCTTGGTTACATCCTCTATCTTCTGAAGATGTCTATATTTTTGTTTGCTTGCATCTTCTTCCAATGAACGATTAGAAATTGGTTCTATAAACTTTGGCAGGTTTTTGATTATGTATATAGGATCATATCAAAAGCAGAAATGATTCGTTTTTGGCTCTTTAATTTCTCTTGGTTACTTCCGTTCGTCTTCTGAGGATCTATCTTCTTCTTCTTTTTGCTTGCCTCTTAGAAATTGGTTAATTATTTTGCTTCCGTTGGTTAATTATTATTCTTTCTTGATGTTTGTTTTATTTTTGATTGTTTTTGCAGTTGAGTGTGTTGGAACCGTCAAGAAACAATGGTAAATGGAATATCTAGCCAAAATCTTATAGAATAATTCTTCATCGTGGGTAGTCTTCGAGAAGCTGTATAGACAAAATCTTATATACATTTTTTATGCTTAATTAAACTATGCATATTTTATAGTTTGGGAAAAATGTCATTTAAATGCTGAACTTTCAAATTTCAGTTATTCTAAGCATTACCTTTTGTGTGATTCGTTTAAATAACAAATTTTTTGTTGACCGATGTTAAAATCATAAACTTATGTTGACTCAGCCATTTTAGGCACGACGTTAACATCACTAACAGATTGACTAAACACCGTTTGGTCAACGTCAGTTAGTAAATTCAATGTAATGTCTAATATGGCCAATCAATATTAATTTGTAATTTAAAAGATAATCGATATAGAAGTTTGTGATTTAAACTGTCCACGCAAAACTTAATGCTTATAATGGCCGAAATTTAAAAGTTTGGCATTTAAATGATATTTTTTTTACTAAACGGTAACTTTTATTTCTAATTGAAAAAAAATATCTCAAACTTAAGATTACACAATGTAAAAGATTAAGAATCTTAAGGTTTTTGAACTTTGTAATTAGCAATAAAACTGATAAAAAAGCAGCTTAAACTTAACCTATTGAGGTTCTTTGAGATAACACATGATTCACTTTACAATATGATTTTATAAACAAAACTCAAATAGTTCAAGATGGTAAGATTACAATAGTTCTCTCCCACAACTTGAAACTCGAATCTTTCAGTAAAATTGTGATCATGAGCGATAAATGATCATTGTTTTATGGATTTTCTATTTGCTAAACGTAAATTAAATTAATTTCTTATTATGATAACGCTAACGAGGTAGAACAAGTATTTTTGTGTTTGGCATCTTTGGAAAAGAAAAAAGAAAAAAAAAGTATGAAACGTACCCACTACACAAAGCAAATCGTTTTTTATAGTTCAGTTATATAAATAACTAAATATGAAACTTATCGTAATAATAGAGACATTAGTCGCACGCAATTAGTTGATAGTCTTCCCTAATTTATGGATTGCACTCAACTAGTCATTTATTTATCACAATTTTTCGTAAGATTTGCATTCTTAAAAACTCTTTAATGTGGTTAAAGTGATCTTTTTTAAGTTAAACTCAACCTTTTCATTTTTTGTTGTTTTGGTGTAATGTAAATTTAATTTACATTTAAATATATTTTTAATTAGTTTGGATTTACTTGGTTTTGTAGTTATGTAAACTGGTTAAAATTGAAGTTCAGTTAGTAGAAAGAAGAGAAAAATGCCATTTAAATGCCAAATTTTTAAATTTTGGCCATTATAAGCTTAAATTTTGCGTGGACAGTTTAAATCATAAATTTTTATATCGATTATCTTTTAAATCACAAACTTATGTTGACTGGCCATATTAGGCATGACATTGAATTCACTAACTGACGTTGACCAAACGGTGTTTAGTCAATCTGTTAGTGATGTTAACGTCGTGCCTAAAATAGCCAAGTCAACATAAGTTAGTGATTTTAACATCGGTCAAAGAAAAGTTTGTTATTTAAATGGATCACACAAAAGATGATGCTTAGAATAGCTGAAATTTGAAAGTTCAGCATTTAAATGACATTTTTCCCTTTATAGTTTTCGAGAAGCGTATCTCAGGGTACACAACACGTGTAAATAATGATGGTTCTCCTTTGTCCCGGCTGACCTGTCGAATCACTTTTCCGAACCCGCCATTTCCCCATCTAGTTCCGGCTGAATTTTGGATATCCCAGTAATGTATTCCATTAACTGTTCCGTAGCCGTGACATACAACCATATTCTTCTCGACCTGTTTTCTACTCTTTTGGGACCTTAGTAGATTCCATCCTATAAAACATGAACATAAAAAAAAATATATATACTGTAGATTAAACATGCATTTATATTATTAGGATCACTAAAAAGTATGTTTCTTTTAAAGATACCAACCCCTACTAAGTCTTCAAACTCTTTGTAGAAGTCTAAACTGACCGCCACAGGACCTTCGGTGACTAAAGATATAAGTTTTTTCTCATCCACCTTTTCCGAGATGATCAAATCTTTCACTTTAAATGTGCGTTTAGGCTACAAGACATGAAGAAATGTTTAATAGAGAGATCAAAATGATATTAAGAAATAAGGATTTTATAAAATATTTTTTAGTTACCTGTCTTTTGTTGGTACACAGTGTGGGCACCTTGGATTTAGTTTTACCCTTTTTAGTATTTAATAATGGTTCAACACACATGCAATCTTCCTCTAAGATTGCGCCATCCTTCTTTAAAAACGTTTGCAGATGTTGAAAATCTACAAGTGCTCCTTTGGAATTTACTTTGTCGATGAGCCCCACTAGAAGATGGAGTGCTGATAATGGCGCTTCAATTTTCTTAAGGATACGAAGACGAGCAGATAAACTTCTGGTTGATGCTATCGCCCAACATATATCTTAAATATTAAAAAGATAAACTTCCGGTTAATGTTAAAAGATGTTGCTGTCTTTGAACCCAAAAATGGTAAAGATGCTAGACGTTCAGTTGATTACACACGTTACATATATATATTGAAAACATGTATATAAGCATTAGCTAGAACCATATGAATACTTGGTATAATAGGCACATGATGTTAATAAGTGAAAAAGGAAAGAGAGGCACATGTTGAATTCGAACAGAAATTTTAGAGCTAAGCAATTTAAATCTCTTGTGCTCGCAATCATAAAATTATGCCTATTTTGTGATTAATTCAAGACTAATACCTTTTATAGAAAAGCTTTCATGCCAGAAAATAAATAAATAAATATATGGAGTCTAAAGACAACCGATTTAATTAAAGACAATCCGATGTTGCGTACTCCATTTGATTTCAAAACATATCAGAAAACCATATTCTACATTACTCATTACCCAACCCCGAAATAACACTTAATATATATACTTGAAAGAAATATGCAATCGAACAATATATCTTTTTCTATATAATCATATAATAATATGTTTTCACTTACCCCGATTTCCCTGATCAATTACCTCTCTAAGCTCATCACGCCTGGACAGTCTATAGATTTTAGTTCCACTGATATCCTGTAAAAACCAATATTTATGTATGATTGAATATTAAAATCTGGGAAAACCTTAAGAAATATTTTCTTTGGCGTTGAAATGTGATATCAGTTAGACCCAAAAAAGTTCTTTGTACTAGGAGTTTAGAAGCCCGGAAAACTGTTAAGCTCTAAAAAAACGTTAACAGAGCTTTCTTAACCTTAAGAAATAATGTATTATATAATGCGCCTATAAAATAGATTCATGTTTTTTTTTTTTGAGAGCGGGCCTATAAAATAGATAAAATAGAATAGATAGAATAGATTAATGTTAATTGGCTTACCTTAGGAAAACTCTCGTCCAACTCCGTCAACTGATAAAATACCAATTAAATAAACAGAGAAATTCATTAGTAAACTTTTTCTCTCGCCCAGTTACAAAAAAAAAAAACTTTTTCTCTTGCTGTTATTAACGATAGCATAAGTTTATTACTGTACTTTGTTAAAATGTTAAATCATTAGTTTATTTTTTTAATTAATTGTTAATTATAATTACCACAGTATCTTTTACGGGCCCAACATTTGAGTTTGGTCTGGGGGCTTTTGATTTATTGCATGCCACCAACACCATAAGACTGATGATCTTCCATCCTGGTTAATTTGCATAAAGTTTTTTAAAAAAAGGAATACAAATACTGTATATACTACTTAACTGTAACATGATGGTAATTATAATCTACTGTCATAATTAAACGGGATACTCAACTTGACGGACATAAGCAGTACCTATTAATTAGTTTAGTCAAAGATCTGAATTGGAAAAAAACATAAAAAATAGATAAAGATCTACATTCATTTTAAATGAAAACAAAAAATCTCAAAATTTCATAAGAAGAAAAACAAAAGAGAGCCAAGTCATTTTATTAAAATCAAATAAACCAAGGAGCAAACATAAACTAAACAATAGTATGTGTAAAATTGACGAGCCTTTGTTAAAAGCTTTGTTAATACCCCGACCTTCCAAAAATTTCAAAGCATGAGGAAATGAGTATGTGTAAAGAACTTTGGAAATGTACAAAAAATCCCTCTAAAATTAGGAACTTATACGATCTTGAGTCGATGCAACATAAAATCAAGTCGATATTAACTCGATGCAACATATTTAAGTTTGATGCAAATGGCTAAAATTTTTCGGTTTTATGTGGGATCATCATTATTGCCGAATATATCCTATGCCTATATTGCATTTTTGCGGGGGGATAAAAGAGTAAAAGAGTAATTGAACAAACATTGAAAAAAGCCGTGCCTGAAGGTTCACAAGCGGCTGAATCTTTATTACGTAAGGGCTTATTGGATGCAATTGTACCACGTAATCCTTTAAAAGGTGTTGTGAGTGAGTTATTTCAGCTCCATGCTTTTTTTCCTTTGAACAAAAATGAAATCAAATAGAACAGTTAGTTTATCAGAATTAAACGAAACCCCTGAAAAATTTATTTTTCTTTCGAATCTTTTTTTTTTTATCGATATTCTTGTTTACTACTCAGTAAACCTCTATCAACAAGATAAAAAGTGAATCTTTGGGAAGTTAAAATTAGACTAGACAAATAAAACAAAGTTTATTTTCCTCTCTTGCTTGCATATGTATAGATAATTCAAATAGAGATATATACAGATCTATAGAGAGTCTTGCATCTTTTTGCAGTTCCCAAAAATTCCCTGTTGTTGAATCCGATTCCAATCACTTTTGTAGAAATTTGTAATGGAATAAAATTTTTTCTTTATTAATGACTATTAGAAGACAAAAAGAACAAAAAGAATAATAAATCTAACAAGGGGATTATGATACATCTATTTGATTTTGAAAGATGAATAAGTCTATTTATTTAGTTTAGCGTTTCTTGTACCTATCTTTTTATTCTATTTCTATTAGGTTCTATTATAGAATATTTCTATTAGGTGGTATATTAGTATTAGATATATATTTACTTAAAGATACTTAGTATAATTATATTAATATATATAATAGAAATAATAAAAAAAAAAAGAGAGATTCGGATTCCTCCGAGAACTGAGAAGAATAATGTCAGACAAGTACAACCTAACCATATCACACTAACATTATTTTACACTAGGGGTGGGCGCGGATCGGATATCCAGAAATTTTTAAGTATTTATGGTTTACTCCGTTTTTAACGGATATTTAATTTTATGATTTGATTTGCTCCGGAAATATACGGATATCCGGATTTTCGGATATTCGAAAAATTTACAAGTATTTGCAGATATTTACGGATATTTACGGATATTTATAAATATTTAGTTTGATCTGTTTAATATACACAAAACTGAAAGTACATTAATTTTTATAAAATAACTAAAAGAAAACTTTTTATTTTATAAAAAAATCTATAAAAATTAAACCTACAAAATTTAGATGAGGAAAAAATAATATTTTATATTTAAAAATAATATTAACTATTTAAAACTTTAATATTAAACTTTACTAAAAACCTTTGTTGATATTTATTAACTAATATCAAATAAAATATTATTTATTAACATATTTTAAGTTTAAACATATTATTATTTTTTATGAATGGTTATTTAGTCATTTATTTTATATAATCAAAAGAATTTAGAAACAATTGAAAATTTAAGAAGAAAATCGAGAGTATATTAATAAAAATTTATAATATAATTGATATATACATAATAATATATACTAATATATAATAAATTTATAAAGATACGGATCGGATCGGATATCCGACGTTGTCTAAAAACATATTTGTGATTTGCTCCGTTTTGTACGGATACTACATTTTGCTATTTGCTTTGCTCCGAAGCTTTACGGATATCCGGATTTTTCAAATCGGATCAAAACAAATATCGGTTCGAAGCGGATATAACGGATAGTTTACCCACTCCTATTTTACACAATCACATACTCACATGCAACTTGACGACAAATATTCAAAGTTTTTAGTCACAGGTCAATTAATATCTTACAGCAGCATGATTTTTTAAATGATTGAAAAAATAGTTCACAATGTTTAGCTATTTTATAGTTTAATACTAATAGAATTATTATTTTGTCAACTCATAGATACATATACAAATCACAAAATTAATTAAAAAGATGAGCTATAGTATTAAAGTAGAAGAAACTTAATAGTGTCTAAACCACGTGTTGAAATAATCTTTGTTTCCCACGTATCCACATATATATTTTTTATATTTCAATTTCACATTGAAAAATTAAAATTCCGAACAAGAAAAAGATTGTGCAGATAAGAACCATGCATTTGACAAGAGGAAAAGAAGTAATTTAAATTTACAAATAATCAGTACTCAGGTGCAAGACTTAATTACAAGCGACAATTTAATTCATCTTTTTTTTTTTTTGCTTAACAAAATTATTCATTTTCTTAATATTATGAATTGACCATTATTTACCTATAGAACTACTCATAACTAATAATTCAAGATTATAAGAAAACGTTTGGTCAATAAAGAAATACACATTTACAGCAAACCAATAAAGGTAATAGTATATAAATGGGGCAAATGGAAGACTTCAGAGCTGCGAAGAAACAAATACGGATAGTACGTGTGGAAGTACGATCCACATGAACTAAAGTTGTCTATATTTATAAAAGTTGGCTATTTTAAAGGGTAATTTTAATAACTGGCCAAGTTAATAGGAAAATTAGAAATATAAAGTTAATAATCAAAATTAAGTTGATACATATTATATATAAAAATTATGACTATATTATTTTTATAATTATTTGATCTAGTTTTGATAGATAATAATTAAATTATCATGCTAACTAATATCATATCGTGATAACTATGTAAACTATGCTAACTAATATGATGCTCGATTAGTACATAGTACAAAAATCAAATTAACATGATAACTATCGTGTTAATGTTGCTATTATTTCATGAAAAATAGGAGTTAACTTTGTTCGATTAGCACATTGTACAAATATCTGGTTAACATGATAACTATCGTGTTAACGTTGCTATTGTTTCATGAAAAATAGGAGTTAAGTTTGTTAACTGTATAAGTTATTCAAAATTATCATATTAACAATGTTATCATATCAAAAACTTATCATGCTAACGTTGTTAGCATGATAACTACCGTGTTAACTTATACTCATCACCACCACCACCATTTATAGCCACCACCACCACCACCGACACTGTCACCATCATCGCCATCACCGACACCACCACCATCACCAGCATCGTCATCAGTTCCATCACCACTGGCCCGTCATCACCACCACCACCACTACCACCACCACTATCAATACCACCACCATCACCACCACCGACACTACCACCATCACCGCCACCATCAGCATCGCCATCCCTTCCACTACAACTGGCCC